ACAATCCACCTGAATGTTTTCTCTCTGGGCAGGAAAATCCGTGAGGTGGGTTGGCGGACCTAAAGAATATTTGCCTCCTATTTTTCTTAACGAAAAAAGTTTCACAATGGCTTGTCTGTGATAAAAAAAATAAAATAATGTTTTTCAGGCAATTAAATTTGTATGCAGAGCTTTTTTTGTTTTAGCGTAATTTTTTGCTAGAGATTTGAAATCAAAAAGATTATTATAGAATACAATGACGGAAATGAGTGAAAAAGGCTTTAAAAAGTAAGATGTTTATAAAAAAAATTATTAAAGATAAACGAAAAATTCAATTTAAAAATTGGTTCAAATTCCGTCAAATTCATTAAAAAGTGGTATTTTTTAGTGAATGACAAATTTTAGTGGTTTCACACAAAAAATTTGTTTTTCAACAAATCATTAGATTAATTTGCATTCCATTTTTCATAGACAATTGAGCATGAAAATTTATGAAACCTCAAAACTTGACTAAAAATTTCATTGCACATTAAATAGAATTTGAGAAAACCCATGGCAATGCACTAATTTCTCCATCTTATAATATAATTTTCAATTTATTTTCACATCTCACGGATAGAATGATCAACGACCTCAGATTTAACAGCAGTTAAAAAAAATTTTATGCATAAAAAAATGTTCAAAAATAATAATAATAATAAAAAATGCAAATAAACTGAAGAGCTGATTATAGGTTAAGTGAGTGTTTGATGTTTTACTCTATTGTCTTTTATCAAGATGAGCACGGTGGAGAGGATGAGAAGAATGGTGTTGAAATCGAGTCGAATGCAAATGGGCCCAAGGCGCCCGAGACACCGGTTGCATGCGTGCCAGGGGTCGTTTCATTATCGGCTACTAAATTATGATCCGGGCCGTGTTTTCGACGGTGCGCACTTCCTTCGGCGGGCGTTCGTTCATTAATTTTCAATGAGGAACACGGCGGTGAAACAAGAGGGGTCTCCGGCGAGCGACGCCGTTTGAGTGATTGCGTATGCGTTTCATTCTCTTATCCTGCTCCTTTTTCGCTCGCTCGCTTGTTACCCTAATGGAATTGAACTAAGAGAGCACACGCTGCCGAGAGGGCGTTTAAAAGAGGAAATAGAAAGGAAGATAAATGGAGCTCTCTCGCGCCCGGCGCGCTTTTGCTCTCTACCTGCTGAGAACGAAAAAGATATTGATGTGCCAAGTGCATACATTTACTTTATCGGCGATGGCTAATTCATCCCCGAGAAAAGCAAAAAAGAGAAGAGAGAGAGAGGCTCTTCTTCCTCCGCCTCCGCTTCTTCCAAGACAGACAGCCGTCCTTCCTGTTTTTTGGTTCAGATTTAGATACTTTTGATTGGATTTGCGATCAAACTTTGGTTGGAGGGAACAGGGGAAGCCATCCATCAAATTGTTTTTCCATCAGGAGAGCTTTTGTTAATTGCGATCAATTACCGTCTTCCTGAAAAATCAGCCTCTGAGCTTGGTTAAGACATGCATGTGCATTATTTTGATTTGTGAACATAAAATTAAAAAAATTTAAATTTAAATACTTAACAAGCCTAATAAATTACAATATTTTTTATTCTTTTAAAAAATATTTATCTGTTTGAATTTTTTTTTTCTTAAATAATAATTAAATTTTTTGTGTTGTACACTTTGACAAAAGTTATGCCTCTCTAATTTAAAAAAAAAAAATCTGCTTGTTTCCATTGTTATTGTAAATAAATCTTGATTTTATAATATATTCACACCTTCAATAGAATTTCACATGATCTAATAATTTAATAAATTATCAATCACTCACGAGAATGACTATCTATTGATTCCCAATGAACGAATTCGATTTAAAATTGAGCCTAGAGACAGAAAAATTCATCTCCACAAAGAAAAAAATTTAATAAAATATAGAATAATTCTTAAACGACGACATTCTCAAAATTTTCCTGTTATTTAAAATTGAAACATCATCTTCAAATCTCCTGGTAAAAAACATTCTCCTCGCCAATTTTTGCAAAAGGTAATGAGCTTTTTCAAATTACATCGCAGCTATGGCGGCGTCTTCAAAAATAGGCACATTTGAGGACGCGAGGCGTCGGCTTAATGCTAATTCTAGCGAATAAAAGGGCCACATCAAGTTGAATTTGAGGCCATAAAGGCAGCATTAACAGTCGTGTTTATGGGCAGGCCCTCTTCAGCGCAACAAAGCGCCCGCTGGCAATAATGGAGCGCCTCTCGGCATTAATTCTGAGCGCGCCGAATTCCGACCGTCTCATCCTGTATCATTTGTTTTATCTGCACGCGGATATTTCATAGCTCGTTAACTATGCTAATTCAGCCCGCAGTAAAATTTAAAAGCATTTTATCTCCCTCTGTCTCGCTACAAAAATTATTATTATTTTATGAAGTGCTCCCGGACAACATACACTCGCTCATTGCGTTATTAATTTAGCTTTATCCTTCACGGATATATATGTATGTGGGTTTATGGCGGCAAAGTCTGCCGACTCACGCTTTAATCACGACTGCCGAGTGCGTTTTACGATATTAACTCCGGCGATGGGTGTAAAAATGTGCGTGTTCTGCCTTCGCAGCACTCGATTCCAAATCTTTTGCAATATAATATCGCAGCCTACATACCTTGTGCCAACAGAAAAAGTGTCGTGTTAATATATCATACGTAATGAAAAGTACTTAAGCTCAAGTACAACGTAATTGGATTTTCCGGTGCTAAAAAACCAAAAACAAAACGTGCAGTGCAAATTTGCTACTATTTATGAAATTTTTTAATTTACTTCAATATATTAATTCAATTTCTTATTTAATGTATAATGAGGCTCAACAAAGGTCAGTTAAATGAACATTCCTTAAACATTTTTTATTATTATTATTATTATTAACATTAATGAATTTAGCTTGAATTGAAAAAAATACACTTCCTTATATTTTAGGGCATTAAATATTGAATAGTTATTATAGAAAAATCATTCAAAGGATCACAGTTCCATCCATTGTGATGAATGTACATTTACAATAATTATAAATTACAAGCACACAAAAAAGTGCGTGGCATTTATCATAATTTTTTTTATCATCAGTTCCTAATTTTTCCCATGAGATATTAATTTTTTTATATCATTGTAGAAAACTGATAGCAAGATTTAAAAAATAAAACTTTTCACAGGTAAAACACTTTTATAATTATACTAATTCAATAAATTTTTCTCTCACAAATTTGGCATATTTTAATTGCTCAGAACATTTTGAGATCTATAATTGCCCCCGTCAGCTTTTCTATTGTTAGCAGAAAGTTTTCGGATCATGAATATTTCGAGCGAAACGACACTGACCAGAAACTCTTTGCAAGATTAAAAGCAGTGCCTTTCGAAATGGCTGCGCTCGCTTGCTCGCTGGAGCTGCAAATAAATTTCCCTTGATTGGGGATCTAGTTCAAGTGCTCGGCTTAATCCCTAAGTAAGCAGGCACACGGACTGTTTCAAGAGTGATTAAGCAGACGACGAGGTTCATCTCGGGCCCTCTCCGAAATCTTTAATTTCGTTATGGAGCGGAGGCGTGTGTTTTCCCTGGACGACGTCGCGAGAGAGAAGAGATAAAACATAGCCTCGTGCAACCCGCGAGAGGCTGCCTGTGTATTTATTTTCTTATCTGTTAATCAATACAGGCAAAATTACCCTTGAGGCACCCCGCCGTCTTTTTAAGCCTTTCATTAGAAGGCGCTGCTTTGAATCTTCGCCCTCAGTTTCTTCCAGCCTGGTGCCTTCACAACTTTATTAATAATTAAAAATGCGTTTGACACTTGTTGGCTGATTGATAATTTAATTACCCACCGTTATCTCTTCATGGCAGCCCCAGGAAAATTAATTCTTGGAGTTTATTCCTAAAAATTTTAAACAGGTCCATTACTATAATGATAATTATGTTAATAGTTTGAAGCCATTATTTTAATCAATTAACATGCTTAATAATATGATTGAAAAATTTGATTTTTCTTTCTAATAATTATTCTTCGTTGCATATTCTTGAAGTATAAAAATCTAAGAAAAAAGCTTAATCACAAAAAAAAATTCAATTTGCAACTAAAAATTTAGTTGCAAATGAAATTTTATTGGGTTCATGGACAGGGCAAAAATTTTTTGTTAAAAATTCATTTATTCCCCTCTGTTACGTTTTTAGATTTATTTAGTATTGACTTTTATATAAATCTGCAATATATGCAGCTTAAAAATAAAAATATTTTCTACAAAATATCAACGAAGTTAAGATATTTCAAGTTTTAAACGATTTGTTTTTGGTTTGTATTTAAAAATCCGGTTTCTTTCATTTTAAGATGGTTCAATTGAACAATTAAAAACCATGAATTAAATTTAAATGGTACAATATATCTCCTCATCTCAATAAATGTATATTTCCTAATAGATATTCACAACTCAACCCTTCAGGTTGTGATAACTGTTATTTAACAAAGAGCAATGTCGCTCTCAATAATGAGTTTCACTATGTATATTCTATATGTCATGTACACACCACAGAATCGGGTTTCAAACTCCAAATGTGACGTCAAACGGAGCAGAGCAGAGTCCTAAAATATATGTTTGCTAAAAACAAAAGCTTCTCTTGTATTGAAATTCCCAACGCGTTTGATGAAATACTTAGAATATCATTATTCTTCATTAAAAAGTTATTTGTCTTTGTTGATCAACTAAACTTATATATATTAATTTTAGAGAGGTCTGAAAGGGCAATTAATCAAGTCTACAAACGTCAAAATTAATTAATTGTATTTATTTATTTAGATATAAAAAGATTAATAATTAATTTCATTGCGTACACAGGACAAAAAGTTTTTGTAATCATTCAAATCTACTGAAAACTGAATGAACAAAGATAGACTTTATTTATGGGAATATTTTTGTCGCAGAATACTTAACTGTGAAGTTCGCATCGCATTTTGAAACAAATCGTCTGCTTTTTTGTTGCAGGGGCGTTATGCATAAAGGACGTGTCGATCCAGGTGCCTCCGACGGTGAGCGTGGGCACGGACGTCTACCTGCGTTGCCTCTACGACCTCGAGGGCGACAACCTCTACATGCTCAAGTGGTACTGCGGCAAGGAGGAGTTTTACAGATTCGTCCCAAAAGAACTGCCTCCCACCCGCGTCTTTCCCTTGCCCGGATTCAACGTGGACGTGAGTTTTCTTTTCCGCATTTTTGAATTTTTTCCACCAATGCATTTCCCTTCGTGGAAACTTTAATCTCGGATAAATTCAATTGGAAATTTTTGCTTGTCACAGCCGAGCGCTGGCAGGCACTCGCACGTGCTCTTTTTAATGTAAAGTACTAGACCGTGTGTTTTTGCGTGACACTTTTCCTGCTTAGTGAATGGAATGAAAATTAAATTTTTTACTACTTCCAAGAATTTATTTGAATAGATATAAAATGCTAGCAAGTGGGTCGCATTATCCTGGTAAATAAAATTTGTGCAAGTAAAGAGTGATATCTTGTTTCCATGTTAAAGATTTTTTTATTGCATCGCGTTTGAATATGTTTTGAGAACAAATCTATAAGGTCTAGAATTATTTGAACAAAATTTATGCCTTCTGTGATTAATTTTTTCATCAAATTTGATTAGCACCTCACAATCAGAGAGCTGTTTAAAAATATACAAAAACAAATATTCATCCTTTAAGCTTTTTAATATTGTAAGAAAAAAAATAGTTTATGCTTCTAGTTTTTGAATTAATTTTTAAATTTTATAAATGAAAAAACAAATTGTTTCACATTCTCACTGAAAAAAGTCTCTCGATCAGATCTTGCGAGTCACCAAGTCTTTAACTCCAGCCTTTCTTTGTTTCTGATTCAAGCAACGTTCTGCTTTCTTACAGATGGACAAATCCGACACGCACTTGGTCGTCCTGCGCTCGGTCACACTCGAGATGAGCGGTCGCTACAGGTGTGAGGTGTCCGCCGACGCGCCCACCTTCCACACGGCCATGGTGGCCAGATGGATGCACGTCGTGGGTGAGTGAGCACAACATTCCTCCCTCGTCCCGACTCACGAACGGGCCAAATCTCACTTACACGCTCCGTTAATCGCGCACCAAACAAACTTGGCCGACACGCAACGCGAAACTCGAGAATCAGACCTACATACAGAACAGCGCGCTCCTTGCCTTTTGTTAATTAATTGGAGTCCTTCGAACGACGAATGTGGTCGCGGGTGAAAGGGCAAAGTTCGGCGGCGTGTACTTCTCGGGGCGATGCGCGAAGATTTCAAATTAATGGGTAACTTAGATTGCTGAACTTGGGAACAATACAAATTTCCAGTGAAAGTTGGTCGACTGAAGAGAAGTGAGAAGTTGACACTCATCTTAAGAAGGATCATATCGTATTTTTGCTCTTTTAATTTTTTTAGTACATACATTAAGACAGTAGCTCGGTTCTCAAAAGGGTTATGACAATTTTGGTTTACAAGTTTCCCGTTAGCTATTTAAATTTTTTGCTTAACTCATAATCATGCTGATTTCTACATATTAGTCTAGTCCTTGATTAATTCATTAATATGACTGTCCAATGGAGTACAATGTACATCTTAAATGATGAAATTATTTTGTTTAAAATTATTATTATCAATTATTCCCTTCATTTAATCCGTTAATTTTAAATATTTTCGCTATTAATTAATTGTGTCTAAACATATTTACACATATCACATATACAGACTAAGATTAAATAAAGGCTTTCCTTATTTTATTATATTTAATGATGAAAAATAAATTGAATTAATTTTAATTTAAATATAGGGTTATTATATAAATTTTTTTTTAAAATAACATGAATTTATAATAAATAAATAAAACATTATAAATAATAGTAATCATTTTATCTAAAAATGTTAAAGCAAAATGTATTTAAATGATATTTTTCTTCTAAAACAGTAGTTCTTCTACAAAAATGTAGCATCAAATTTTTGTTGATTTTATTGATCAGCACATCAAGAAACTGTAGATTTTCAATTAAATCAATATGAATGAACCCTCGGTCGTGAAAAACCTTGATCGAGACTAATTTACCTATTTTTATGACAAAAATCGTGATATGCAACCTGCCGGACTCGCCGGCTCAGCGGGTGGCCTACCTCGGAAATGCAAGGCAACTTCCGACGGAGGCGCCGGGTTGCCGCCGGCGTCATTAATATACGATGAGGCGAAAGAGGCGCCTCTCTATTTTTATCAGCAGAGGGTTTGGAATGAGAAAGTATCACTATTCTCGTCATACCTCGGCAAGAAAGGGTTGGAGCGGAGAAATTGACACCGTGGGAGGATGGAAAAAATTGTGAGGAAGAAAAAAAAGGGGAGAGGCGATGATCCCTGTGATTCTTTCTATATTCGCAAACGTTCGCCTTCAAGGTGTGCGAGCTCATAAATATTGCATGATTAGGGGGTCAGTCGGAGAGGGGCGAGAGGGCATTTGGCATTCACGGCACCACCGACGGCCGAGATTTATGCATTTTAATCAAGACGTATTCGCCCTGGTCCCCAGGCGGCGGAGCAGAAAGAAAATTTCCTCGCGCCTGCGGCTTTGGCACGAGAGAGATATTTTTCATTTGTTCGCGCACGGCACATCTGCGAGTGAGAGAGAAAGAGAGTTGCATTTCATTTCGAGCTCTCATTTGGCGTGAGCGCGAAAATATTTTATTAGGCAGCTGCTTTCCCTTTCCAGCCAGCTAATCAAACAGCATCCGGTCTGCGTTTCGAAAAGTGCGAGGCACCGCTGCTCATGACGCCGTCGCAAGTTACGACGGCTCATTCGCGCCACATGGCAGCAAAATTTGCTTGCGATAATTCTGAGTGCCTGCGAAAAGATGCTTTTAAGCAGATTCTCCAAACTCTACAGTTGAGAGCTCCGCACCAGACGCCTCGTCAACATTTCAAGCAAAGTAGTCTCTATAAAGCTCTTGAATTTTCATTGTATTTTATTCTTTGACGGAAATAATTTAAGTCCAGGATAATAAATTCGCATTGGGGAAAAACTTTCCATAAAAAAATGAACTCTTATTCATCAGTTTTTTTTTAATTGTCATCAGGTTTGAATTTTTTTTTTTTTTAACAAAAAATCCCTTGCTATTTTCTTATCTTAATTTATCCTCAAAGTCTCTTTAGCCAAAATAATTATGATCCACACACGATTAACTTCTAAATAATTTTTAGGTACAGAACAGGTACATACTTAGAATCATTGGGTTTCTTGAACAAATTATACCGACATAAATATTATTTACTCGATTTACTAAAATTTGGCATAATTTCAAAAAATAAACTTATTTTAAATAGATCATTTGCAATCAAATATCAAAAGTTAAGCTAAAATAGTAATTCAAACATTTCCCAAATTACTTTTTAAGAAATTCTTTGAAATGTTAATTATTTCAAAATTATATAATTAAATATTTATTGAAATGAATTAAATATCCGTATCTCATCATGTAAGATAAATCTTGTTAGTCACTTCAAGAGAAACGGCACAAGATGAAATTCTTTCGTATTCTTGTAATTCAAAATGGAATATTCTGACTGAAGCAGCAGTTTGAGCGGACGAGGAAAAGATGTTGCTTCATAATGCTCTCTTACCAGATTTAGCATAAAGCCCTTTCTCGAAAGAGACCCCCGAGTAAAAAACGCGTCAGCGAGATGTGCGAGTGGCAACAATGGCGAGAGAAATTCATTTCAAATGCGAGTTCCACGTCTGCACGCGAGCCACACATAATGATAAAATTCGTTCGCCCCACTTCGGAGAATTAGTCTGCGAAAGGGTTTCAACTCGAGAGGGTAGGATTCGAGAAGAGAGCATTTTTCCTCCACCGACCGGCTGCAGCAGCAGGATCTGTTTTGGCACACCAAAGTGTGTTCCTTTGTGATGAAAATAGAGGCGGGCTGTTTGCAGAGCGATCTACGACACACGGGGCCGGAATCGCGCCTAGAAATTCAATTATATTCGACCAAATTGAATTTCCAAAGCGTGCAGCCCGAGGGCCGCACAAAGAAACTGTTGAATTTTAAAGGACCTCAAGATTAAAGTGGAAACGACGACGCAGATTAGAACGGCGCCACTTCAAACGCCCGGTTATATCGCCTACGTTCTCTCACTTCTAGATGCTGGCTTAAAGACTGCTGCTCTTTGATGCGTCAAATTTGTCGATTGGCAGCCCATTTCCCTGATTGCCTGCATGTTTTGCCGCACCACGAATTTGCTAATTTTCATAATTGCTTTATTAATCAATCCTTCCTGTCAAACACTCGCTTCAGTGATTGTCAAATTTGACAACCGTTTTGTTAATTGAAGTGCTCTGATAGACAAACCTGCCAAGTCCATTTTTTCCACTACAAATTTTTTCATCCTCTCTTTCCGTTTGCATAAGCAAAAACAACAAACGAGAGGAAAATCAAATAAAATTCTTCCCGCTTTATTGGAAAAATCAAAATCTATCTGGGTTGAATGTAGACGGCCGCAAATTTAACATTTTGGAATTCGTTTCCATCAACATGCCTGGGGTGTCGCGAAAGTGGGACACACGCCAATCAACAGGCATCGGAATTCGCGACGCCTCTCAACCCTTCCTCCCTCTTCTCGGTGTGTCAACCATTCTGTTGCACTACTTCTCGCTGACTGACTGCTGCTGAATTGAAATCATCTGGGGAGTTGGATGGGCCGCATGCACTGTTAACGACTCTTTTATGCATACGCTCAAGCGTGTGTACTGCGCCGCGACACATTTCTATGCAGGGGAATCCGGGACTCCGTTGGGAGGAGAGTTTGGACAGGGAACTGCTGCGTGGCGAGAATGGGCAAGTGACACACAAAAGGGAAGGAACGCCGATGAGCCGTGACAAAGGATTCAGTATCGTACTCCTTGTTTAGGAATGCTCAGGAGAAAGCTATTGTTTGTCAAATTATCAAATAATTTCGCCAAATATAATATTGTGACTTGAAATTTGTAGAATCTTCAACTCAATTTTTATAGCTTAAATTTTGATTTTATGGATTTTGAAATTTAATTAAAATTTAGTAAATTTAAAATGCTAAAGAATACCATTCTGTAACATTATATTTTTGGCATGAGGTTCAATACCTAATTTTGTTCTCAAAATTTCATTTGATTTTCTTTTTTCCCAATTGACTAGCATAATTTGTATTTTAATTTGTTGAGGTTTAAAAATATGCATATGTCACTCAGTGTATAATATAAAAAATCAAATTTTATTTATTTATTCCAAATTTAAATTATATTTTTTTTCTTTTAGTAATTATACTTTTAAATCAATTTAATAACTATAGAGAAATTAGCATAGTACTGATGAATTTAAACGTTGTTCATTTTTCTGTCATTTTTCTGTATGTTAATCAAAATGTTGGGAACGATAAAACTTAAATCATTATTTTTTTTTTTAATTTTGTATTAAATATACTTTTGAGGCATTAAAATTTATTAATGATTATAAAAGTAAATAAACCAGATAAACTTTTTAATGTAAAATTATAAAAAAAATTTAAAAATGTTATGATAAAGATACAATGTTTTAAAAACTATTATAAATTTATTTTTTATGAATTTATACTTATATAAATATTAAATTTAAAAAACAAATATTATATACTATATGATTTGTTTAAGTTCCTATGTGTTAAAACCGACCTATTTTCTTAAATCGAGCTAACAAATTCTGATTTCTAATGAATTTTCCCCTTCCCTTTTGTCTGCATTAAATCCCAACATGCCCCCGAGGTCGGCAGACGTGGATGTGTCTGCAAGGCTGAATTATGGCGCACCCAACGAGAGTCAAGTGTGCGGCTAATTGGCACCCACACCGGCTGACACGACTTTGATTTCAAACTGCGACACCTAATTGCGGCGCCGACTGCATCGCGCAAGATGCTGAGGGGTGCTTGAGACTCGTCTGCCGCCTGTTCAACGAGGCTAAACTGCTGCACCTCCAAGATGATCTTTCTCTCCTTTGATGGTG